TCAGTAAGAAAGTGAACCCAGAGGATGTTCCAATGACCTTTGCAAGTAAGATCAAAAATGCTGTGATAACAGCTGGCTGTTACAGACCTCAACATATCTACATTCAAAGTAGATATGTTAAAATTCATATATTTGGAGTGCATGAGGTGTATTTTTGGATATATGAGGCTGCTTTCTTGTTCTAACATGGCAGTTTGTTTTATGTTTTCACATGATCCTAGGAAGGACTATACTCTCTTTCAGGCCCTGTTCTACAAGCAACACTTCCTGTCATGATGGTGACCTTCCTGGGTTGGTACCTCCAAAGGCCCCAACTCTCAATATTATCATTGCTTTAGGAATGAAAATTCAACATGAATTTGGAGGGACACATGTTCCAACATGATACCCCACAAACTAGAGCTGGTCATCACTAGACTTGACCTGCCAGAGGTGAGTCATTAATTACAGTTCTCCTGACAGAAATCCGGCAGGCTCTCAAAGACAAGGTAGAAATTCCTTATGTAAGGCCTGAGGTCCTGCTCATTATTAAAGTTATGTTGAAATGAAGGAGCCCAAGGAGTAGGGAGAAATATTTGCCTGACCAGATGGATATGAAAGTTTTAATGAATAATAGGCACTTTGGCAGACACACAGGCAGGTGAATTATGAGAGAGTCCCTTGCATTACAGTGAATGGGGTCCATTTTTACAGCCATTAAGAAATATCTGGCCTTGTCTCTTGGGCCATTTGTGTAGCCTCTTATTTGAATAGTTAAGGGGACAGATCACTATGTTTTATAACACCATTTGCTTCCTTTTGTGAAACTGACTGTTTGGAGTGAGGCACCAGGGCTGTTGAGTTAGATTCTAACTGCCTGTTAAGGTATCACAAACAGTATCAGCTCCTGCCATTTATGTCAACGTGGGTAAAATGGGAGAGTAAAGTGCTGAGCAAAAGAAGCCACAAGAGGGGGAAAATATGCATAGAGAGGGTTGTAAAGCAAGGCTGCCCACTCTCTCCATAACTTTTCAATATAGTAATCAAAATTCTAGCTAGAGCAACAAGACGACAAAAGGTGATCAAGGGGATACAAATTGGGAGGGAAAAAGCCAAACTTTCGCTATTTGCAGATGATAGGACAGTCTATATAAGTGACCCCAAATATTCCACCATGGAACTCCTACAGCTGGTAAATACCTTCAGTAATGTGTCAGGCAGGATACAAGATTAAATTAAAAAAATCAGTAGCCCTCCTATCTACAAATTATAAATGGGCTGAGAAAGAAATTAGAGAAACATCACCCTTTAAAATAGCCACAAATAACATAAAATATCTTGGGGGTAACTCTAACCAAACAAGGAAAAGATCTGTGTGACAAGAGCTTCGAGTCTTTGAAGAAAGAAGTTAAAGAGGATATCAGAAAATAGAAAGATCTCCTATGTTCATGGATAGGTGGGATCAATCTAGTAAAAATGGCAATCTTACCAAAAGCAATCTATAGATTCAATGCAATCCCCCAACAAAATCCCAATGCAATTCTTCACAGAACTTGAAGGAACAATACTCAACTTCATAGGGAAAAACAAAAATCCCAGGATAGGCAAAACAATCTTATACAACAAAGGAACTTCTGAAGGCATTCC